TCATAGAAACGTTTTGCGTTCTGTTGCAAGACAAACTGCAGCTCTGATCTGATCTACACCAAATTCTGTCATATTTTGCAGAAGCAAGATGGACAGAAGCACAATTGGTAGACCTAAAAAGTTCTTGTTTCAAACATAGACATGAGGATCCACCAAAGCTAAATTTACAGAACATCTACTGTCAAAGTAATTTAAAGACTCAAGGTATCAAGCTGTATAGTATGGAATAGCTGTTGCATCTATACATTATGAATTTGTCACCTTTCAAGAGAGATATTATACATTACACATAAAGTGAGTGTATGAATGAACCAGCTGGGCTGAGTCAGATGAGCCGTCCTGAGACAACAAATGCACCTTTGTTTCCTGAAATACTATCCACAAACTCAGCTTCTGGTTAAAGGCAAAAGGTTAAAAATGCTGTGAAATTTTCAGATTTTAAAAGTCTTGCAAGAAAATTAACTGTAGTTAGAGAGAAAATATACTAGATAATAGCTTACCAAACAAGAACATCAGTAACTTTCACAGCCTTCTAATAGTCAACTGGATTGAAAACAGAAGTCAGTTTACTGTGAATACACAAGCACTTCATAAGCAGTCCTCATGCTGCCTTGCATAGGACCCTTGATACACAACCCTCCTTTGCCACACTGTTCCTAACATTTCAGTTATATTTTATTGATATTTGGTCTTTTATATTGATATTTGATCTTTTATATTGATATTTGATCTTTTATATTGATACATGAGCATGAGAAAGATTAGAGACCCGAGAAAGCAATGTTTAAATGACTGAGATGAGAGAGGAAACAGTGCAAATATCCCCTTCCTATTCTGCCTTCTCTTTTCCTTTAAATTCTGTCACTATTGATTAGGTAGAGATAAGAAAACTGTAGTAGTGTAGGAAGAATGAAATGACAGTGAAAATGGTGGGATTGTGACAACTGTGCAGCGTTTGTTAACAGAAGGAAGTTATTAGTTCTTTCTCACTTTTAACTTGGAAAAAATAATCCCAATGTCTGTTTCTTCTGAAGTAGGAAATTGCAAGTTGGACAATGTAGCTGGAGAAGGGAAAGGAAAAAGCTGAAAAGAGCCTCTTCCTGTAGCAGTGAGCTCTCAGGTGGCTCAGTCAGTCCTGCCCTGAAACTTCACTCCTTGGCAAGTTAAAATTGATGGCAAAACCATGCCCTTAAGAGAGCAATGCATAGCTGTGCTTCAGTCTCATCCTCCCCACAAATGCCATAGCTCAATTCAGACCATGCCACCCTGAGCAGCAGATTGCTTTGCAGCACTCAGATTTCTGCACACTAAGGCTACAGTTTCCTAATGTCTGATACCAGACATGCTCACACTACAGATCAGATTCAGATATCAGCTGGATATCAGATATCCAGCTTCCATCAAAGTCAAACCCACTAAACAGCAGGAGGAAAAGGTAGAATAATAGAAAGAGACCTACACTATAAAGCCTTTGTACAGGACTCCTTTTGTTGTGACCACTTATGAGGAGGCCATTTTGTACCATATGGCCATGACATTCTTCCTCCAGTACTAAGCAGCCCCAAACTATATTTAGCATCCTCTATAACCACAGTGTTGGCTGTAGGTAAGACGCCAATACTATGCCCTTAATTGAGAAAGACTTTCAAAACCCCCATTCAATGCACTTGCTTGCGCTGTCTCCAGAACTTCTCTCCACCTTCACAGTGCTGTACTGCCCAGTGGCTTCACCAAGAGGCACTAATGCCACAGGAGGAAAGGTGGCTCATGAACCAGGACAGCCTGACACAACCTTCACCAGCCTGGTCTTTCATTCTGGTCTTGTACTGCCTCCTACTGACACAGTTTTTTGTACAGTAAGGCTGTAAAACAATCCAGCTGAAAAAAATGGGGAAAAGAAGAATATTTTCAGTGTATCTTAGTTAACTGGTCCCCTCACTGATTTGACTACACAGTGCAGAGGTGCCCCAGGGCAGGAATGAGTTACCAGAAAAGCCCAGGAACTGAACCATCAGTGCTGCCAGTTATTTTAGGCATCTGAAATAATTCACTTTAAAAATTAAGTCCTATACACTAGGTCAAAAAGGGCAGACCTTGTAACCTTCCTAAGAAACTGCCAACAATCTGCAGGACATTTAGCAATTTGGTAATGCAATTTTTATACTGCATGAATACATGCACATCTTATGCCCATAAACATTTCAATAAAATGACAGAATTTAATTCTTTCAGTGCTGGCTTTCCTGCATGTAGTTCAAAAGTACCTGCATTACTTCCTCTGCCTTCTGTATGTAGGTCCAGGAAGTACAGTTACCACAGCACTTTACAGGTAGATGGCAGAAAGTTGCAACTAAGCAGTTTCATAACAACACAATTACACAATTAAAAAGCCCAACCACCACAACTTTGACAGTGCCATTTAAGTTACACACTTTCAGACTTCCATCAGTTTGTTTAATCAACTGTAACATTTTCTCCCTCAATTCCAACCTAAATAACATTTTTTAAGTAAAGACCAATGAATTATGATATTACTAGAATGCTGTTTAGAAGCAGATCAGTTACTTCTTTGAAAATCCCTCTGTGGAGTTTTAAAATATGTATTTCAGTCAAAACCAATTATGTTTAAATTAATTTCTATTGGAAGGAAACATGGCTTTTTCCATCACCTCAAACAGAAACATGTTTTAGATTCAGCAGTATGAGTCAAATACTCAAAGGCAGCTAAGTAATTTGGTATTTCCATTCAAAAAATAGAGTTGGTCAAAACAAATTCCAAATACAAAATTACAGTATCCACATACAGTATATACTCAAATCCCAGAAAGTAGAATTTCCCTGCTGTATCCATGACTCAGGCTCTGGTTACATCCATGCTGCATGTTTAGCCAGGTTCCTGCTGTCTGTCTACAAGCAAGCTTTTAGCTTGGATTACAAATCCCACCCAAACAAAATATTATAAAATATCAAAAATATTTCCTGGCCCATAGAGAGCTCTGCCTCACCCGAGTGAGATATGACATCGTACACAATACACTGGTACTAGACTAAGAGCTCTATTCCAGTAAAGACCACATTTATTCCTTTCTTATCCTCCATTTCACCTCAAAAATCAAACAGGATGTCTTAAAATATCTGTAGTTTAAGTGAACATGTTTGACTTTATCCCGGACACCATGAAGGAAATACCTCACACAGCCAGTATTGTTACAGGAAGGAAGCAACTTCTAAATAAAACATCAGTGCAGCATCTGCTGTCTTTCCCTTAAGATTCAAATTCTTAATCTGGTCACAAAAGCAGCTGACTAATAAAGCTACACAACAAAGCTCAGGGTTAGGTCATAAAAGCACAAATAAGCAAGACTATTCAGTTATGAAGGTAATTTTCTCTTATAGAGGAAGCAGCAGTGAAACAGCTCTGGAGAGAGGACAGCATAAGGGCAGTGCAGCAGTGGCAGGCTCGATGAAGATGAGGCAGATGATGGCTGTGCACCTAAATAAACTGACTCTGAAGCTGTACATCTAAACAGGGGGACTTGGCCAGTTTAATCATCTCCACTCAGGAAAAGCAGCCTGCTTTCCCATCGGGAGCTGCTTGAAAGTCATGATTTACAAACAACATGTCAAAAATAGCACTCTGCTTACTTTACAGAAGAAAACAATTGTTTTTTCACACTTAAACCCAAGAAACTCCCCTCCTCAATTCCCCAAAGCATGTATTAAGCAAAATAAAGCCTACATTGTTACAACAATAAATAAATACAATCTGACTGTTCATTCCATTCCATTCCTGGTTAAACACATTCATAAACAGTTTCCTCCACATGAATCAATTTTAAAGTAGTCCTAATCTACATGCTAACATTTGGATAAATTTGATACCAAAATCTAGATCCATTTATTTAGTAAGACCAAAAAAAGTTGATAGCAGCAGCTGTTTTTATCAACTAGCAGGGCTTTTATCAACTTAACGGAAATATTTTTAAAATACAAAGTTATCAATAGCATATAATTTGGTAATATGTGACCTATATATCTTATTAAGTCATTAACTGTCAATTTATGTGAAAATAGAAGACACATTGCTTTTTCCTTTAACATTGTTGTAGTTTTTTATGTACCTTTCCCTAACAATAGTAATAAATCCACAGTATTTTTCCAGAAAAACTTAATTTTCTATCACACTTAGCTCATCTTACCAGAATTTAGCATACTACAACCTAGTGTAATTAAAATAATAGATCTTCTTTCCTATGCCCAAGTTATCATAATGGATACAAACCACAATTTGTGCATAATTACAGAACTTGGATCTCATCTTGCATGAGCTGGACAAAGGTTATGCCCTGTACCCATGCCTGGTACTTGAAAAGGCAACATACTGCAGCATTGGTACTGTAATTATTTCCATCCTTGAAATGAGAGACATTTTAAAAACACAAGCTTTCAGGGCAACTAAGCCTTGCATCTGTCATCACATGTTATTGCCAAGTAATATGCACTCAAACGTAGCTAATCACACAAATGGCATCTGTTACACAATCACACAGTATTTTATCCTATGCACACATTGTAAAGCAGGATAGGTAAGTACCATTTAAAAGGAATAAAAGGCTACTGAAAATATATATGGAAAGCAAAATTCTCATTTACTTTACTAAAACATGGAAAAGATCTTAAATAAAACTGTTTTATTTCCATTTGGTGCCTTTGCGTTCTCTCATTTTAATAATAAAAGAATCAGTTGTACTTGCACTTATTTAGTTCCTACAGTATTCCTGTTGCAGACAGCAATGAAATATGTTGTTGTTCTCTTTGTGAACTTGTGTCAGACTGACACTTTCTCATTTTACTTGCAGAGTTTTCATGAGGTCCTGGTTTTGTTTCAGCATAAAAATTTTGGAGTTACATATGAAAATATATTTTTGTTAATTATCAGACGTTAAAAGCAACACAAGTCAGAGCAACAAATTTTACAGAAAGATTTAAAGGATACTGTGTTTACAGAATTCTTTGGTTATATTTACTAAAAGACAAGTTACACTGACAAAGACCACAGTACAAGAACATTTGGTTTAATTACTTTTAGGATTTCCTTTACTGCTTTTGGTGCTCACAGTATAAAAGATGGAAGACCTTCACCCCCAAGAAAACAGATAACCACACACAATTAGTCTATTCAAAGGCACTCAGCTTGCTTTTTAAGTTTGGCAGACACCAAGCTGTAATTTCTTTCATCATTTGCTGGGCAAATAGTCTCTTCAAAAATTCATTCAACACAATAAATTATACACAGTGACCAAGCACAAAATCTCATGAATTTATGTGGAAAATTTATTTTGTTAAATAAAATATTCATGATCTTTACAAAACTGATTTTACCAGACGAGGCCTTTGGCCAATTTTGATTTTTTTTTCCCTTTAACACGCTGGGCCTTAAGCTTCTTTCTTTGCCTGGAATTCATCCATATTGGGTACTGTCCATGCTGGTCTAGAAGAGTTTTTTTGTTTCGTTTATTGTCCAGCTCCATTTTGCAGTCATCTGAAAATTAAAGGTATTTTTAGTGAGTAAAATATCTGAAACAGCTTCACAGAAGCTATTTTGTTACTAGATTCCCCCAAATGATAAAACTACCCCTAGACACAACAGTATTTGTACAGAGAACTGAAGGGTTTATAAACTGAAAGCACTTTCCAGACCAGTGTAACTGCAACCCAGGAACTTCAAGAGTTGACAGTAAATGTGCAATATTTTTCCTAAAGGTCATGTATGGGCAAAGCATCTTATTCTTTCATCAGCAATCTGTTCCAATCCTGTGTCTAGGAACACTGTAATTCCATCATGGAAGCATGCAGGAAGCCATAGGCTTACTGAAAGAGATGCACAATTACACACTTTTTAGGATGTAATGTTTAAGATATGCTCTAAAAAATTATTCTGACTGGAAAATGAATACAAGTAAAAAGAATAGTAAGGAGAAAAGGTGAAATCCAATGACAGTAGGAAGTATCAGCCAGTGATGCCACACTTGCCTCAAGGAGTGAGCCTGACATCAGGTCTAACACATTTACAGGCAGAAGGAGAGGAGTAATCCCTAGGATGAGGAAGACTGCCCATGACATGGTCACTCCCAAGAGATGAGGAAGACTGCCCATGACATGGTCACTCCCAAGAAGGGCGTCCCCAGCTGCCTAACATCCCATGAACGTCATGTCTCAGGGAGATAAGAAAGTGCAAGAGGAGCACCTTGCTAGTACTGACTGCAACTGTGCTCTGTAATTTCATCCCAGCCTTGTTCCCAAACCATATGTGTGCAACTCACGCCTTTACCACAAGTTTTATGGAGAGGAAAAAAGACTTTGATGTACTGCTTGTCTGGTGTTGGGAGACAAAGCTCAGGAGGAAAAGGCCAACATGCTGCTTCAACAGTTGAGGTTGATAGGCTACAGGAATCTGCATCAGAGATGTGCTTATGGAACCCTAAACTGGGGGGCCTGCAAATACTTGCAATCAGCAGAGAATCAGCACAGGGGCCTGGTGGCAGAACCAAAAGCCTATCCAGCACAGCAGACCTTATATTATTTTTTTCTTAAGAAGAAAAACGGGAAAAAAAAAATTCACAGTGTGCTTACCCTAATAGGGTAAGATGTCTATAATATTTACCTATATACTTTCTTTGGCTGGAAAATGATTTATCTGTCTGCAGGAAGTACATATTATGGGTGAAGTTTTTATCTACTTCAGTTCTCATAACACTTGGCAACGCAAGCTCCTACATTTAGTACTGAAAAGTCCTCTCAAAGAAAACACCATTATTTTCACAAAACTTGTAGCTGTTTTGTGAAATACATATTTTCTTAGGTATTTCTGAGGCTGCTATCTCTCTGAAAAAGCCAACTGAAATTGGCCACTGTAGAGAAGTTGCCAGCAGAGTTGGAAGGAGGTGCAAAAATGATAGATAGCCATGCATTTATTTCAGAAACTAGGTTTAAAGGAATGATTTCTCCTTCAACTTCAGCATCAGAAGTCTGACAGTGTTCCAAAACATTTTGGAAATTCAATTCTAACTAACCCTTAAAGAATAACTTTTACACCTGGTTTCTAGGACAAATCTGAACCATGGACAAAATTACAGATTATACTTGAAGATAATCTTAATTGGACAAGTATTTTTTAAATACCATTTTATTTCCATTTCCAATATCAGAACATCTTAAGTGGCACAAACTGGAGAATCAAAATAAGACTATGATTTAGTTTGGACGTCAGTTTTGGAAAGAGGAGGTGTTTTTCTGACTCCTATCCAGTATGCAGCTATTTAAACCTTTGTTTCCCTTTCCTGGGTTACTTCCTTTACAGTTTACATTCGATTCCAGACACAAGGAGGAAGATGGCATTATTTGTAGACACCTAATACCATCCACTCCTACACTACGTGCAATGTAACACTAATTAGTATTCAGAAACTGGGCCCGTATTACTCCTACCCCAATTACTCTATGTTCAGCAGCCTCCTCAAATTAGGACAGTTTGGCAGCAAACATAATGCTGTGATTGGAACAACTGCTAACTGGTGAATCCGCGTTCACCTGAGGGTCTGAGAGATGTCTCTTTATACAATACGTTACGTATTGTATAAAGATAACTAAAACCAAATGTTAATAACCTTGTACCGCAAGTGACCGGATGCAGTATGGACAGTATGGATGCCAGTGTTGCGAAATGACCAGAGTCAGTGTTTCAGCTTTAAAACACAGGCTTGCCGAGTGCCTGTTCTCCCCCTGTAACAACCACACACACGGCTGATGCCGGCGGTGAGAGTCACAGGGCAGTACCAGCACCGCGGGCCCTGCCGCACCGGGGCGACTGCAGCAGGAACAACCAGCCAGGGCCGCACTCACCTTTCGCCTCCAGGACCTTCTCGGGGGGCACCACGGTCGCCACCTCCTTGACCTCCTCCATGATGACATCCGCTTTGGTTCCCAGGATCTTCTTCAGCCTCTCCAGCTCCTTGGGCGCGTTCTTCTTCCTCTTCTCCGCCCGCATCTTCCTCCTCCATTTGCTCCTCAGGCTCTTCGCCATGTCCTGCGGGGAGGGAACCGGGAGCGCTTGAGGGAGGGTCGCGCGCACACGGCGGAGGTCGCGCGCACACGGCGGAGGTCGCGCGCACTCGGGGGATGGGCCCGCCCCGCTCACCTGCCGCGCGCGAGGCCGCCACACACACTCGCGCAAGGCCACGCGGCCCGCCCGCGCATGCGCACACGGAGGTGCCCGGCCTCCCGCGGGGGTAGATGGGCTCTACCGTAAGTGTCGGAGCGAGCGCGCAGCCGCACTCCCGCTTGCGCCGCTGAGGGGCTGTGCCGGACGGCGCTGCGCGGCCAGGGCGAGGGGGAGGCATGAAAGGATAAACGTGTGCTCCATCACAACGTAAAAAGCAGGGATTTGTTCTTAGCTCCTGCCCCGCTGTTCTGAATGAAATCCTAAGGCAAAGGGGGAGGCTATCACACTCGCTCAAACCCATCCGCAGTGGTAGCTGGGAGGCCTCACGGAAAGCGCACCCGGTACCAGCGTGGGGCGGGCGGGCCGCGCACCTTCCCCAAGTACAGCATTCCTCGTCTCCCACCCCTCACTGACAGGACTGCGAGCAGTAATAATCCCTTACTGAACAGAAAGGAAGCCTTTCAAAACCGTTTTTACGCTGCCTGCCCCTCCAGCATCTCCACAGCGTGGGAAGCAGCCACAGTCCCAGCACCTCTACCCTGCCAGCACCGAGCCGTCTGCAGCGCTCATTCTCAGCATCCCGAAGTTCTCCAAGAACAGACTAAAGGCTTTCCAATTTTTATTGACACACAGTGAGTTTTATTATACATAAGTTGATAAAATGCCATAATCAATCTCCAAATGATTTTTCAGAACACTGATAGGCAATAAATAGTACTAAAATAAAGAATATTCCCTTTAATTGTTTTAACACCTTCACAGCTTCCATAGTGACAGCCCTTAACTAGGACAGAGTACCTCTGTCAGAGATAGCATTTCAATTTACCAAACAACAACAAAAATATCTCAGTGAAACATTGCACAATGGTAAACTCATGCTACCCTTATGTGGTACATAAACGAATGATCAATCCCAAAGGAAACATTTTCAGCAGCTACAGAACAGCAGGGAAGCTTATTCTGAAGTAAACAGGAGTTGGCAAAATTTTAATCCTTAATTACACAGCAAATTAAGTGATTAAAAAAGTGACTGTAATGAAGACAACATGTTAACTACATAATATACATGGTCTGGAGAAGATCTGTAGCTATGTAAAAAGGCATTTTTCCCCCTAAGGAGGGACCAATATTCATGGAATGCAAACATAATAAAGATTCAGTCTTTAGAAGGCAGAACTACTGAGTTTGCAGATCATCCATAAACTTAACTTTAATTGTGCTGTAGTCAAACCACTCCGCTTTTGACTTATTTTTTATTAAATGCCTCCAGAAAACGCAGCAGGTGTAGGAAGAGATTTATGATGTCCAAGTAGAGATTGATTGCAGCCAGTATGTACTCTTCAGGGGACAACTTGTGCATCAGCAGATGAGTGTCATAAATAATAAATCCACAGAACAGAAGAGCTCCAGCAGCAGCAAACACCAACTCTATTGTCTCACTATAGAAAAACAGCTGGAGGCAGATAAAATATGAAAAAGATACTTGTGAATTTCATTTTTTTAAAATATTAAAATCCCTGCATAATGATATGCCACATTTAAAACACAGTCTTTCTACTGTTATGTACACAAAACCACAGTATTATGGTAATATTTCAATGCTCTTATTCCAAATACTCTCCAGTCACACAATCTCTGACTGAGTAAAAGTGCCTCCACTTAAGAGGGAGGAAGCTCTGGTCTCCAGAATACTAACAGCAGACTAGAAAACTAGAAGCTAGAAAATATAATTAAATCTCAAATGTCCTTCACATTCTCTTCATCAAGTAGTCGATCTCAATTGACAAATTTTGTCTATCAACCCAAATACTCCTTTTATGTTGGCAAGAACAGCACCCAACAAAAATCTAAATTGAAAATGTGTGGTTACATGATCACCAGCATGATGTAGAACAGTAATGGATCTGGCTAACAATTTTCTTTCATTAAGTTATAGTGGGCTGATGCAAACCTTTTAGTTACACTAGAAGTTAGTAAAAGGTCTGAGTGACCTGATCTTAGTGGAAGGTGTCCCTGCTCATGGCAGGACGGGTGGAATAGATGATGTTTAAGGTCCCTCCCAACCCACACCATTCTGTGATACTGTGAATATCTTTGAACTGTGAACACAAAGTATCTTACCCTCAAGAAACCTGAGATGATTAAAATCCACAAACAAGCGAAGAGGCTGAAAGAAAATAAATTACACTGTGACTAACAATATACTTTCTTTTAGACTTGAAATATCCTCCTTTCTAACACCTCTTCACAATATATATGGCAAGTATATGGAATTCTTAGATGCCAACTGTTTACTGGTCTCAGCAGTAAAGGTTTTATAAAGCTGTCAAAAGTTATGTTTTAACTTTAATTTTTTTAAAGATTTGAAACATCTGCCTTCTCTCTCAGTGAAAAATCCATGTGAACTAGTTTTCTAATTGTTTTAAGATTCTTTATCACTGAAAAGAATTTACCAAGGATCAGAAGTGGGTAAAATGAATAATTTTAAATAAATAACCCTCACCATTCCCTTGAAGCAGGTTCTATTGACCTGTATTCCTTACTTTACCTGCAAAGCTTGGTTTAAGAAAAAAACCCCAAAACCTTAACAACAACATAAAATTTAAAAAAAAATCATCAATATGACAACATACCCTGCTCCAAATTTGCTGAAATCTCTCTTTGACTGCAAGGTATATGCAGTCAATCCAAGAAATACAGCAGTAGTAAGAATAAAGGCTTGCAAGACGATGGAGACATCATAGAAACTCACTATAAACAGAAAGAGTAATCTGTCAATTAAAGAACTCTACCCTATGTATTTGCTGAGTTATCTTTTGAGGAAACAGAAATTTAAACTTAACTGTGAACAAAATTTAGTAAATTATGCCTGAACTTGTCTTTGCATTTCAAATTCATGATCATAGGACTCAGGGATCGTGTACTAACTAAGTTTGACAGTTACTTTATAATTGTAGCTTCTTAAATGGAAATAAAAGATCTTCCCTAGTCAGAATTATGAACACAGCAACAAAACAAAACAAAAAGATTTTAAGCACAGATAACAGAGATCTTAAGGAAAAAAACTGTATAAATTTTTCACAATATTGCAACAAGGGGAAAAAATAAAACAATCCCCTAAAAATGCTTGAAGTTTTGATTAGGGGACAGGAAGGGAAAGATAGCAGAAACATGTGCAATCTTTTTCTTCCCTCCTTCCTCCTTTTTCTTTTCTATCCCCAAATCAGGCTATCATAGGCCACAATGAAGAGGTTTCATCTTATGCTCTAAGGTATAGTTCAAGATGATGCCATGGTGTGACTGCACACTGCCTCATTTCAACCCTGACCATGAAGCACAGAATTCTCCAAACTCAGATTCCCTTTGAGGAAATTGAGGGGGCAGGTAGGACTATTTCAACTTGAAGATCGAGCTGAACATTATGAAAGAGAACATTTTTAACTATACTGAAAGAATGGATTCCCCAGTTTCTCACTTCAAGTTTATACAGTTTCATTTCTGAATCAGAATTCAGTTTTCTCCCTTGATTTCCTGGTTTTGCTGAACTCCTATCACTGTCATTGAAATTTTCAAACAGGATTCATTATCATTTTAGTCACATCTAGAAAACCCTAATGGCAATTGGTACAATATAATGGATTCATTTTCCAAATTCTTTATGGAATCAGACAATAGCATGGCTACTATTTACCTGTAATGGCAACTGTCAGTGCTTCCAGTAGAGTCTGCAAAAAGCAAACCCAAAAAAAGACGAGGGTAAGAAAAAAATCAAACCATTAAACATTAGGTCTCCTGTTAAATCTTTCTGTATGAAAACATGTTTAATTTTCAACAAGAAAATGGCAATCACACCGTCCTCCTGGGCTGGAAGTTGTGTTACATTAAAAAAGTACAATACAAAGTGAAAATGAGTGACAGACTTTCCCTATAGAAAAATGCCACATTTCCTACTGTAAGTGCACAGCATTTATATGACACTTCTGACAAACTATTCAAGGTATAGTAAAAGTAATATATTATAAAAGTAATATATTTGTAATATCTTGTTGGATAGCTGTCTAACAGTGTCTGCATCAGTTTCCCTTCCACACTTACCCTTTAAATAATCTGTTTACTTCACAACAAAGCTGTCTTTCTGTTTTATCACAAACACAATTTAGGCAACTCTTGAAACATCAAATTTTAATTGAGCTACTGTGACTTCTTTTCAGAAGACTGATTTGCTACATAACCCAAAATATCCAAGAGCAACTGTTAGCCTGGATCCACATACTCACAACATCAGGCAGAAGACTAAAATTTGAGTACAGCTCTGACGGATCTGCCTGTGATGGAAACATGCTCAGAATTTAGCATCAAAAAGACAACTGGAAGAATAAAGTATATGGCTGGTTTGGGTCTCTGCTGAAGGCTGTCCATTTAACAATTTAAGTAACAGGAATACCTCCTCCTTTCCTACTCAGCAATTGCATAGAAAAAATCCCTGACATCAACAGAACAATGAGAGCAGATAGATTTCTACACACATGCAATAACCCTTGCTCAAACTGGTTCCAAGTTCTAACACTCTTTCTAAAAAGATGCTGAAAGAAACCTGAAGTGCCTGCTATGTAGGAACAACCTGTAGGCAGAATCTCCAAAAACTAACTCAGACCTTCATAAATATATAGGATATCTTTCAAGGAATACAAGAAAAACAAATGACATACCTCTAGTTTCAAGGAATTAATTACAATGCAAGATATTCAAAGGACTATTACACTGAATTAATTAATCAATTAATAATTTAACTTAATTAAACACTTACAAATCCAAACAGCAGGTATAAATTAACAGGGTGCTGGTGTCTGTAGAGGGTCAGTGCCACAATTACAGCCAGAGATCCAAACCCAGATATCAAAAGCAAGGCAGGCCTGTAAAATTCCATATTAAAAAAAAAAAAAAAAATCAAACTTAAATATCTGTAAGACTGTGGAACAGTTTATATAAATTCAAAATTTTAAATGATCATCTAGGAAAAGATATCCAAAGTAAATGTAATGCAAGTT